ATTTACTTAGTATAATTCCATTGATATTGTTCACGTGCTGAGGAAGCGTAGCAACGCGAGGTTTATCAGTCGGCATTGTCTGCCGACAGCGTCTGTTGGTTAAGAAGCTTTAAAGCTTTCAAGCTTTTCGTGTTAGTGGGTGGAGGAGTGGGCGTGCGACACGCAACAGATGCGTGAATCGTGGCCGGCAGAATATGGCGAAAAGCTGTAAACCGGCCTAAACACCATTTTATATCAAATAGCGAAAAGTTATCAAAAAGCTAAAGAATCGCCTGACAATTAGTTTGGGGGAAGGTCATTTGTAGGTCTGCACTTTGTGGGTCTGGGTCTGGGTCTGGCTATATAAATAGCATTTCAAATTCTTACTCTTCGTCTTGGCTACACAAGTGTTACTGACCTAGCTCAAACAGCTACTGTTGCTTCTGCTGCTGCTGCTGATGATGATGATGTTGCTGTTGCTGATGGACGTCATCATGCACGTCTAGCGTCTGGTCTCTGTCTAGAAAAAGTATCTTTGCCTCCCTCTGCCCCGGCTCGATGTCTAATGAATTAGCACTGGATTCGTGCTGTCATAGCTTTGCCTATTTCATTTATGAACTGTCGCTAATGAATCATTTAACGGCGGAAAGCGGAAAGCGTGTAGCGTAAAGCACTCGACAAAATTTCGCTTATCAATGGGTTTAGTTCAAGGTATAACCGGAGAACTATGATAAAGTATTTAGCTATAAATAAAATACAGAAAATGAATGAATATACGAATACATTTAGTATAATTTCATGGCGAATTTTGGAGAGTTTTGCTTAGAAATTTCATAGAACGGCCGGTAAAGCAAGTAATACTACCTCATATTACATACAGAGCGGGCAGTGCTCAAACAAATTAAATAATCACTGTCATGGGGCAAAAACTGTAGCATGAATATGCCAAAGGGCGACTCACAAATAATGTAATATATTTTTGCTATGCAAATTGTTGACGAAGCCTTGTATAGTATAGTATGTCTGTACTTGATTCACTAAAATGACTCGTGCGACAGCCTGGCATACCCATTACGTATGCCAATGCAGGGAATATCATTGTTAAAATATACGTGTCGAAAAATATATGAATAAAGAATCGCGTTCGGCTACTTACAGAAAAAAAAACAAAAAAAACTTGTGGGCAAAATAAATATAAATTTTCGCCGTGTGCCGTGCAGTTCACACACAAGGTGAACTCAACATTCACGAAGACAAGACGAGTGAGTGTGTGTGAAAAGTTCGTGAATTTCAATTTTGTTAGCCAATTAGAGAGCGGGTGGTGCGAGCACAGCTGTTTTTGAGGGTGTGCGAGCAGCGGGGGAGCACGGCGAATTGGCCACAAAAAGCTGCACATGTAATTGCAACAGCTGCTGCTGCTGCTGCGACTGCATCCCCAGCGAAAAGCAGCCAAGCAACCAACCAAATAGTCAGCTAGCCAGCTGTATGGGGTTATACGTGAACGGTCAGTGTTTAGAGCGACGACGACTATCAGGCGGAGCACACGGACGGGGTAGCAGAGCGACGAGCAGCAGGCAGAGCAGTTCATAAAATTCCAGCAGCGACGACTACGAACTTCCAGCATCAGAATAACAAACAGCGGTAAGCTTAATACACAGTTTGAACTTGCTTATAACAGACGCGCGGAACGTGCGGCAGCAACAGTCGAAGCAGCAGCAGCGTCAGCACCACCAACATCATACAGAGGGTAGCAGCCAACCGAGCCGAGTGTGAATAAAACTCTGATGTAATCATTCGCTGTTACGCTCGCCAAATGAAAAATATATCGAATCGCACAGAAATTCTTTAAGAATCGACTGTTTTGCGGCCACTGGGCAAAGTATACGGTATTATTCAGCTTTTATTGCGTGCTGCGAACAGTTTGGCTGGAAGCGACCTCAAGGTAAACATTCCCCATTCGTGTCTGGAAGCGCATAAACGACCCAACACAGACTTTGAATGCATTACATTATTTTTGCGTTTGCTCAACACTGGACAAAGCGATGTTTTGAGTCTCTGCTTACGCACTGCTGCGGCATGTCGTGGAATGGAGCGCGCCCATATCGATTTAATATACTTAGCGGATTTTTTTTCTTTTTGCTACCTATACGTGTATGTGCGTTGGAATATTGGAATGAAACACACGCACACATACACATACACTCCCACAGTTGTTGCGCGCAAAAAATAGTTCGCAATACAAAAAAGCTTTGCGCGCTCTCTCATCGCTTTAACGGTGTCGGAGCAGCTAAAGAGAGCGGCTAGCAGTGAGAGCGAGTGAGAGAAAGAGAGAGAGCTTACTAATAGGAAAACAACTGCTTGATATGCCGACTAATTATAGTATTATGATTTTTAATTAGCCAAACATCATTAAAGAGAGCGACTAGCTGCCTTAAGAGAGAGGATGTCGTCGCGTATGTTTAAATTCGGCGTTACCGCCGCAAGTGCCTGTGCAGGCTCTGTGATTGCTGCATGGAGCATCGATCGGTGGAATTCTCCACATGTGGTAACTGCATTGAATGGCCTAATTTATTAGAGGAACATTAATCAACTATCTAACTGTCGTTTACAGGTTAACAATGCCGTGCAACGTCCACCCAAGCGTAAGCGTACTCTGCCCATGCGCAGCGAGCAAATCAAATCCCTGATGAGCGGCGAAGAATACGATGTGCTAATTATCGGCGGCGGCGCCACCGGCGCTGGCTGTGCCCTCGACTCTGTTACGAGAGGTAGACACGCATCACTTTCCTTGTTCCTCACCTTTACTCATCTCGACACACAAACGGTATTTTGCTTTTTGTTGGATAGGTCTAAAGACGGCGCTCGTGGAGCTGGATGACTTTGCCAGCGGCACCTCCTCGCGCTCCACCAAGCTTATACACGGTGGCGTACGCTATTTGCAGAAGGCTATTCTGGGCGTAAGTATAGCCTCAATAAAAATAAAAACTTCAAACATAAGTTAAAAGTAGATAATGAGAAATAGTTTTTATTTTTGTAATTTGAATTGAGTTGAAATTCATTATAATACTATTGGTAAATCCAAAAATGATCAGGCTCATCTCACATAAATGTTCACGTTTCACTCTCATTAAACCTAAGACCGTAGTCTTTTTTCGTAGAGCTAGTAGTAATGCTTTTTATGAATATCTCTCATTATCGCTACAGCTAGATCTTGAGCAATATAGAATGGTTAAGGAGGCGTTGGCGGAGCGCGCCAATATGCTTGAGTCTGCGCCACACTTGACGCATCCGCTACCAATCATGCTGCCCGTATACACGTAATTAGCAACGATTCCTAATTGTATAATCAACTATATATATATATGTGCATATATTCGCTTCCAGGTGGTGGCAGGTTCCCTACTACTGGGTGGGCATCAAGGCGTACGATCTGGTGGCCGGCGATCGTAATGTGAAGAGCTCCTATTTGCTATCGAAGAAGGATGCTCTGGAGCTATTTCCCATGCTGAAGAAGGACAAGCTGTGTGGTGCCATTGTCTACTATGATGGCCAGCAGGACGATGCACGCATGTGTCTGGCGGTGGCTCTGACAGCGGCTCGACATGGCGCCGTGGTGTGCAATCATGTGGAGGTTATGGAGTTGCTCAAGAAGGACAACGGCAGCGGCAAACAGGTGTTGTGCGGCGCCAAGGTCAAGGATCATATCTCTGGCAAGGAATTTACGGTTAAGGCCAAGTGTATCATCAATGCCACGGGCCCCTTCACCGACGCCATACGCAAAATGGACGATCCGACGGTGAAGAGCATCTGCTGTCCCAGTTCGGGCGTGCACATTGTGCTGCCCGGCTATTATAGCCCCGACCAGATGGGTCTGCTCGATCCCTCAACGTCGGATGGACGCGTCATCTTCTTCCTACCCTGGCAACGGCAAACGATTGCCGGCACCACAGATCTGCCCTGCGAAATAACGCACAACCCGGCGCCAACTGAGGACGAGATCCAGTTCATTTTGAGCGAAATCAAAAACTATCTCAACGCTGACGTTGAGGTGCGTCGCGGTGATGTGTTGTCCGCCTGGAGCGGCATTCGCCCGCTCGTCTCTGACCCCAACAAGGATGACACACAATCCCTGGCCCGCAACCATATCGTCCATGTCAGCCCCTCGAATCTGATCACCATTGCCGGCGGCAAATGGACAACATACAGAGCCATGGCTGAGCACACTCTGGATGCGGCCATCAAGGGTAACTAGCTTGTCTATCAAATCTCAGATTATGATCGAATTAAACTGATTTCCCAATAATTCGTTCAGCTTGCAACCTGAAGCCGGAGCGCGCCGAGGCTGTCACATCGTATCTGAAGATTGAGGGCGGCCAGGGCTGGACACCCACCATGTACATCCGTTTGGTGCAGGATTTCGGCCTGGAGTGCGAGGTGGCCCAGCATCTGGCAAAATCGTACGGCGATCGCGCCTTTGCCGTGTCTAAGATGGCATCGCTAACCGGCAAACGCTGGCCGATCATTGGCAATCGCATCCATCCCGAGTTCCCCTACATCGATGCAGAGATTCGTTATGGCGTGCGTGAATATGCCTGCACTGCTGTGGACATGATTGCACGCCGTTTACGTCTGGCCTTCCTCAATGTGCAAGCCGCCCAGGAAGCGCTGCCCGCTGTGGTCGAAATTATGGGCGAGGAGCTGAAATGGTCCAAAGAGGAGAAGGAGCGCCAAATCAAGCATGCCACTGAATTCTTGGCCAACGAAATGGGACACACCATCAATCGCACGTCCAAGGAGAGGATACCCATTAAGCTATCCAAGGAGGAGATTCAGACATATGTGAAGCGCTTCCAACTTATCGACAAGGACAAGAAGGGCTACGTGTCCATTAACGATATCCGTCGTGCGCTCAAGAGTTTCGGCGATGGCGATGTCTCCGGCGAGCAATTGCACGACATACTCAAGGAGATCGACACCAACATGAATGGCCAAGTGGAGCTGGATGAATATCTACAGGTGAGTGCCCTTTCAATCCGAATTACAAGTTTATTTCTCATAATGCACAAATGGAAGTTATATAAGTATATAATATTGCGTTAATAATTGGAATCACTCAGAAGTCTTGACTCTTACAAATTGTTAAAATTATCATAGATATAAAAGCATATATAAAAGTCGTTAAATTGCAAGCTTCATGTGAAGAGACAAGGGGACATTACTTATCACGAATCACTGTAAACATAGTAGAACAGAGTATGATTAATGTTAACGTATATACTATTAAATTGCACAGATGATGTCAGCGATTAAAACTGGCGACGTGGCCTATTCCCGTTTCGCTCGCATGGCTGAGCTAGAGGAACAGAAGCACGAGGCGGCCAATCTGAAGCAGAAGATCAGCGTCGATCGCTCCGGCGGCGGTTTGTAAACGACTTAATAGACAAGGACATCACGCGTACATCTACAAGCACATCTAAACTAGGAATAAGCCGCAACGAATTATATACAAACTATATAAACTGAACTTCTTTACATTTTGCTGTTAATAAAGTCTTGAAACTCACCTCAGTGAGAAATCTCAATCGGTCCTTGACCTTGTGCTCCTAAAATAGGAAAAGGCGCCGATGGCAAGGGCACCAACGGCCACAGCGGCTATCCCAATTTGGGCAAGACTTGCTCCCTCGTTCTCCTGCTCCTGCTGCTGCTGCTGCCGCTGCTGCTGCTGCTGCTGCCGCTGCTGCCGCTGCTGCTGCTGCCGCTGCCGCTGCTCCTGCGCCTGCTGCCGCTGCTCCTGCTCCTGCTGCTGCTGCTGCCGCTGCTCCTGCTCCTGTTCTACAGATGAACTTGGCCTCACGAATAGTATTGGCTTCTCCGCTGGCGTGTCTACGTTTTGAAAGAAAGTTTGCTAATCAGTCTTATGCCTTGTGTCAATTGCAGTCGTCTGTCTTACTGAATATCAATTTAATACAGTTATCGATGTCATTCGTCAAGTTGCCATCTGCACGCTCCAGCGTATAAATCACCCCCGTAATGCAGTTAAACATATCGCAGCGCTGGGTGTCTGTCAATGTGGCAAACAAGTCCAGTTTGGGATCCCAGAAGAAAGGTAATTTTCCATAGCGGCCAGACGTGGCCAAAGACGTATTTAGCTTTCTGAGCATCTAAATAATGTGCATTCGCAAAAAATAAAACACATTTTCATTCAATTATTTGAAACCGAAGATACAAGAAAGGACGTTCTACTCAGGGGCACCCTACCAGCAGGTACCGTCCTCTGACCCGAGCTGTTATTCCAATAATTCTAGGTTTTTATACCCTGAACCCATTGAAAATGGGAAATCAGGGTATAACGGTTTTGCGAAAAGTATGTAACAGGCAGAAGGAGGCATGGCAGACCCCATAAAGTATATATATTCTTGATCATACGACGAGCTGAGTCGAGCCCTGTCCGTATGTCCGTCCGTATGAACGCCTAGATGTAGACTCGCGTATACCGTACGCAGTACAAGTTTATCAAATATTTTCGATAACTCATCCGATAATCGAGAAAAATCGAAAAATGTATTTTGTTTTTTTTCAGCCTAATTTGAAAAATTTTAGACCTGGAGACTTCAGATTTACTGTGTACATATATACATTTAATGAATAAGAAGATTTTGTAATTTACAGCCCCCTTCGTCACCAATTTGTAAAAAAAGTATTTCTAGGGTATCTCCTAGGCGAGCAGTCTTGACTAGAGCTTTCTTGTTATTTTTAATTTTAATTGAATGATATTCTGAAATGAGGAATTGATTTTTTTGGACACTTACTTGTATCAGCACATCCTTAAGCTGAGAGGTTCTCCAATAATCCGAGGGCTTTTCCTTAACTTGCCAAAGCAAGACAGTCTTTATGAAATAGCTTTTCAAGTTGCTCATGTTTTGCTTATTGTCACGAAATTTCTTCATAAATCTTATGACTTCCTTCAGCTTGTGTTTATCCTTGAGCATAAGTAGCTCAGAGTCATAGTAGGAGGCACGGAATGAAACATTGTTCGGATCGATGGGCTTTAAAGGTTTCGGAATCGCCTCCCAAAACCCATTTTTAACAAAGTACTTAAGTTCCTCTTCACCCAAAATGTTTTGGCTTGCATTTAGCTTAATGGCTGGCACAAAGTCCACCGAATATTTGATATCCTTTGTGTCAATGAACATCGTGTGCGCCGGCCCACATCTCCTATACACCACCTCCGTGATATTACCATCCACATTAATCTTATTTTCCATGCCATTAAGCACCTTTGTCATGGCACTCGTGATCAAAGCCTGCAGCTTATGCTCCATAAGCTCATTTTTCGATGAAACCAATTTGATCAAATGTGTATATGTGACTCTATTGTGATCCTGGTTCTTTAGGACTTCCAACACTTCTGTCATGTTTAAAATAACATTGCCAGGTCTACAGGGATCCTTTTTCACAGTAATCCTATCGTTTTCGGGAAACTTCAAGTGAATTACCAAATCGAATTCATCAGGCATTGTAATCTTCAAATTATCGCCATAACTTCCTGTTTTAGAAAGCAGAAGAATAAACAATAGTTATACAGATTGAGCTGTATGATTGACAATTAAATGTACACAAATCGTTATCATCGAGGATTACTCACAATCTATATTTAATAATACATACATATGTACATATGTATGTACACTGCCAACCAAATTTATAGCAAAACTATGCCCATAGTTCCTTAGCGCACCAATTCTTATGTTAAATGTGTTATCGGGGAAAGAACCGGTAATAAAAGTTCACACATACACATGTGTGGTTACACGCATGCAAACGTAACAGCACAAGAACGTCATACATGTCAACATGATCATACATACATACTTATATACATGTACATACTTATATGCATGTACATTTGTATGTATGCATCTATGCACATCCGCAATAAATGTATAAGATTATAAGTTTGAATGCCGTTTTACGAATACACAACTGCATAAAAGACGAAGACGCAATTCCTTGCCTTCTTTCCTTGATTATGATAACACCTACCGCCCAGTTTGTGGCCATTTAGCCACTTGTCGAATGGCGCCACCGCCTTCAGTCCTTTGTAGATAGTATCTCGCAGAACGTTGTAGTGTCTTGTAAACCCTGGGCGATCACGATCAATATTTATGTGCTTTCCGTGCGCGTCATTCAAACGGGACTCCAGAAATGGCATGATTGACTACTTCTTATTTTGCTGATCTTAACGTGGCAAAAAATCAAACTGAACTGAGTAACAAAACTGTCGGGAAGTATCACAGTGAAATGCTCTCAATGGTAGGCATTGCTATTGAAGGTTCGCACTCTCTGTGTGCAACTAAAGTTGCTGAAGCAGTGACGTCACATGCTTAAAAATGTGATTGGTAACTTTATTTATTTAAAAAGAAATCTATTTATTTTCGTTATTCCATTACAATAATTAGATATAAATAACAATATTTTGTATAAATATGTATATATAAAATCATGCATTAAAATACATTGTAGGTATATTTGAATGTTTTCTTTTCATGAATGCAACGGATAGACAGCTCTAGCTAAATATTCTTGAGTGCAATCTCTCTGTTTCCGACTATGAAATCCGTCTACTCGGCTCTCTGTATATGTGCATGTGTGTGTGAAATGCTGGTACAGGCTAATGTGTAAGATACATATGTATGTGTAAAAGTGTCTCCGGCTGCACGGAGAATAATATATTTTCGGGATTCCCTGTTATGTATGCAAGTACCATAAAAATAATTATAGATGTGCATTTATTCATATTATTATTATATTCATTATTATTATTCATATTCATTCGCATACATACATACATATGTATGTACATATGCATTTAAATAATTTCTCTGTAGATATTATTTGTCTAATATATTATTCTTAGTTCTCCTTAAACTTTGATTACTGCTGTCAAATCTAAGTAAGAACTGTTCTTACGTGCATACATACATACATATGTATGAATGTATGAACATACATACATACTTCTTCATTCTTCTTTGATTAAAAATAAACACAAATAATTCTTTTATTTCAATATATATATGTATGTATATATGTACAATATATGTATGTGTGTACAGTGTATGTATGTACATTTATTTAAAAATGTACATGCTGAACCTTGCCCTCAGATTGTGTCTTTTATTTACGTCAGTTCTTTATGGCGCTCGTTATATGATTTCTTGGTGAAATGCAAGGATTGAAAATTGATTCGATGGTTACTTGACAGCCTGGAAAAAAACAAAATAAATATTTGTTTACCCAAATATTCACAAACAAAACGCAATATCTTAAATATCATACCATTCTCTAGAAGAAACAAAGCGCGATCATACAGAATAATGCTTTCGACTGCAGGAAATAAACAAAAATAAAAATCATAAATATTTATTTAAACGGAATTTAAAATCTGAGTAGCCAAACCTAAGGGTGCTAGCATAAGGCGTAGGGTATAAAAACAGACGATACGACGCCAATGCAAAAGATCTGCTTCGATTTGGTCAGGACTCGTGGCCTGCAGTAAGGCAAACTGCGTCCCCTCGATAGCCTTTTGAAAATAGCTGAAAAGGATTTTAATTTATGGATTAATATATATATATAAATAAATTATATATATATATATCTTTTTTAGAATAGGACATATTTCATAAATCTAAATTGCGTTTCATCTTACTCGTTGAAGCTCATGCCAGGCACGTGTTTCACATTGCGCAACGCCGAATGTCTTAACTCGGGCAAATGCTGAACAATAATGCGTTCAGCTGCTGCGCGTAAAGAATGAATCTTCAGATATTCATAGTCTCCAGATTGAAGGCGGCTGCTGTACAATTCCATGGCATGGCAAGCAATTTCGCGTGCCTCATAGCTAAGCCGAGAGTTGTCAGCGCTCTGCAGTTGTGAGCTAAGCGGATAGCCATGCAGCTTCATTTGCGGGTGCGTTGCTCGTGTGCTCATCTTTTGATAGCAGCAGCCCACGAAATTTAAAAATTTAGCTTGCTCACAGCTCAAAAACATGCGCATTAGCGTGCCGCTCAGATCACCACATGGATGCAGCCCAATGATCCCAAAACTGAAATTAGAGTCGGACAATTGGAATGCATGTCGTATACTCTCGATGAACTGTTCTGGCGTTGTGTCGCTGCTTAGACGTTGAGTGAGATGCGCAGGTCGTTTAAAGTGGATTGTTTCGCTGTCATCCAAGTGTTTTGCAGCCATGCTCTCCAGCTTGGCATCGATTTCCAGTGCTTGTCCATTGAGAGCTGCCTGCATTTCAAGACAACACACATTGATGCCATAGCCGTAGCCCAGTACGCGCGCCAAGTGTCCTACGCCAGCTCCAAAGTCAACGACAAACGAAATTGAGGTCTCTTGGCAGCTCCTCGCACAGATTGCAGCCATTCTTTTAATTTCGTGCGATTTTTTCGGCTTCACACACTTCATGAACATGTGCTTCAGTTTACGGTGCTCCAGAAGCGGGCATGATGGCAGCGTAACCTACAATGTGGTTATCTGAGAATATATCGAATCATAATTGACTAGCTTACCAACATCGATCTGCTTCGTTGGACTTCTTCGGATGCATAGCGACCGCAGCACTTGCCGCAGTGCCAGCAGTTCCAAGGGCCATAAAACACGTGCAACACCATCACTGTGCTGCAGTAGCTCGCTCAGGTGTTCTACGGGTAAGTCCTCCAATTGTTTCCGCCAGCTTTGTGGCAGTTTGCTCCAGTGGTCATCCACATAGAAGTCCTGAAGTATTGCGAGATTCAAGTTATCGAGATTTTGGTTGAGTTAGGATAACCTACCTACCAACACATAAGCGTCCAGTAACCATTCGTATTTCCTAACAACATCTAAACACGCAGAAAGTTTTTTGTTAATATTAATCATATTGGTTAGCTATAACAACGGTGCCTAACAGCTGATTTTTAATTAGGCGCGAACGAAATTGTTTTAAAAGTATGTATTCTTATTTTTATGCGCAAACAGGTAAACAAACAGGGCTGCGTACAATTATCGATTATATTCAAGTTCGAATCAGTAATCGATAGCTCAAAATAAAAGTATTAAATAATTTCAGTATTTTCGATCATCAGACAGAGCTTTCGATGTTTCGTTTTCAACACTAGTAAGTTGTCTACCAATAATAATAAAAGAAAACACGACGGTCGGGCCTAATTGGCCATAAATATAATCAAAAAGAAAACAAGAGAACGTAAGGTGCTACAAATTGTAAAAATTAACTTGGAAGTGATGTATTAAAGACTACTTGTGCCATTTATTTTCAAATCCCCAAAGGGTGGAAACAGTTATACACAGATACATCCACACATATTGGCAGTGCCGTCAGCGAAAGCAAAGTGAAAATGCATCTGGAACCAACAAATGGCAATATTTGCAAGCAGATATGAAAGAAAACTGCCAATTGATGACACCGAGGCAATAAGCTGTGAAATCACAACAGTCGAGCAGGTCGACGGTCATACGGTGAGTGTATATGACTTCTGAAAATTTATATCCCCCAACAGAAAAATCAATAATGAGCGTCGCAGCTGCCGCTGTCGCTGCGGATTTGTTAATGACGGTGTCTGACTCTCTTCTGTGTGTATAGGTATATATATGTATATATATTTTTCAAATATACAAATGAGGTGTGATTTTTGTTGTTGCAGGAATACCTGCTGCGCGTGCAGAGAGGTGATAAGTCCTGGAATGTTCTTCGCCGCTACAATGAATTTAACAATCTGCACAAATGTCTTCGTATCTCTGGCATTGAACTGCCGTTGCCTGGCAAACGCATCTTTGGTAATATGCGACCGGACTTCATAGCTGAACGGAAAGAAGCATTACAAGTTTACATAAACACAATACTAATGAATCCCATTTTGGCATCATCGCTGCCAGCCAAGCGTTTCGTTGATCCCGAAAGCTACTCGCAATCATTCCATGGTAAGCGGACTATTGGAACTGTAAGTCAAATCAACTAATTCTAAACTTAATTCCAGACCATGCAGTGCAAAATGCAATGCTCTGCCTACGCAACGATACGGTGTGGGCCCTGGGGCCCACCATGGGTGCCATAGGGTGGCGGCTGCGCAAACATTACTTTAAGGTGACCACCAAGCCGCCAGAGAAGGGTAGCAACAAGTTGGTTAAGAGTGGTTCACAGAATCAGCAAAGCAAACATTTTGCTGCTGGCAGCAATGGCGGCGCCCACTCGGTCTCGATAGATGCAGGTTCAGTAGATCCGAATGCAGAAATGGTAGCTGAGTGGCTGGAATACGGACCAGACAAGTACGTCGACGAGAAAGAAATGCATGGCGTGCTGAAGAGTCTAATGGGTCTTCAGCATCCGCACATTGAGCCCGTTGTGTTTGCTGCGCATACAGAGAACGGTTGCTTGGTCATCAGAAAGTAAGCACTTTTTAAAGTTGTTCATAGATATATTTCATGCGAAGACTACTGCTCAACAGATTCCATAAGCATGGCACCCTCAAGGATGTGCTTTGCATGGCCACGCCAAAGAATCCGTTTTTAAGCAAGTACGGCAATCCCAAGGGACGGACAGCACTCTCCATGAAGCAAGTTGCTACCTATGGCAAACAAATCTTAGAAGCTCTTATATTCCTGCACTCAAAGGGCTATGCTTGCGGTAAGCTTCATTTAAATTATATCAAAAGGGAACATATTTATATTATTTCTATTCTAGGTCACCTACATTCGGGAAATATTGTCATTGTGGATGACTGTGTTAAGCTGTTGGACATCGAGAACCACTTACTTGGTGTGCCTGCATTTTATCGCCCATTCTTCGTACAACACAGCAAGATTCATACAATTGAGACAATTGACGTCTACTGCTTTGGCCATGTTCTATTCGAGATGGCTATGGGTTATCCGCTCCAAGAGTCTGTTGTGCGTCAAATAACGGAATGCCCAGAAGCGTTAAGTATGAATGCATCAATAAGCAATAAATATCTGAATGGAGCTAATGGCATTTCTTAACTGACAGAATCTTTGTTGGAGAGCATACTATCGAAGGAAGCATGCAAGGCCGGCCTGCCAACACTGGATCAATTGTTAGGTCATCGATTTTTTACGCAGTACGCAACAGAGAGTGCAGTCACATCCGAGAAGCCACATTTTAAGCTGTCTTTGGTAATACTGAATAGGAATTTACGATAATACAGTTTCTACAATATTTTTTCTTCCTCACATTTACAGAACGCAAAGGAGCTACTCCGGCAGGCTGCTGTTAAAAGCGAGACTCGTTTGCGTGATGAGCAAAAGTCGGTAAAGAACCAGAAGCGTATTGTACGCGTGCAGGAGCTAATGAGTTCCGAGGAGGAGAAGCGCAAATCAAAGCAAAAAGCAGTTAGTAGCAATTAACTCTGATCTAAATTTTAAGTAGCTGTAGCCGTCGAGCATCCGCTTATCAACACGTATTTCTTTTGTTGTTTTCTTTTCTGTTATGGTAACAATTATTAGAAATTAGAGCACAAACAATCGAAGCTTAAGCAACAGGGTTCGCTCCAAACAAGCAATGGACGCTTGTCGCTGGCGGCAGTAACAGCTGCATCGACCAGCGCAGTTGCTTCCGGCGGTGGGCTAAGCACAACAGATTCATTCAACCGCTCTGACAGCACTCCCGAAGAACCCGCTCTGGCTGGCATCAAATGTAGATAAATTATCGCAAATTGAACACACGAATGTCTTAAGTTGATTAAAATTATTTTCCTTTAATGCTCACAGCACTCACGCCCGCATCGCAGTCGCCACGCCAGGAGATACCAGCGAGCAGCAATCTCGTCGTGGAGAGGCAGACTTCGACTCCAAATATTGCATCAGAGGATGTGGATGCTGGCGAAGATGAGCCGACGCGCTCAGCGTTGCTCGAGTCAATTTGCAAGTTCAATCGTGGCTCCCTGCGCAAAGTGCGCTCGAATGATTAGGCAGAACGCAAAGAATTTTACATATTTACATTTTGGACCAAATGTGGCGTTATGAAATAACGGTTCCATAATATTAAATGCAACAATGAAGAAGAAGAAGAAAGAACAAATCAATTGAAAATAACCAAAAACAAAAAGATAGATACATTTTTAGATACATATAACAAGACATATTCGTAAACTATTTATTGGGCTACTTAAAGAATAACAAAAAAGAAAGACAACAATCCACAAAATAGCTATAAGTGACTACATATATATATATATATATACATATAAGTAATAACATATATATTTACTAACGAAACCCACTGAATCTGTGTCCACAACAAATCTATCTATGCATAACGTATGAAAACTGTTTTATGAACTTAATTGATATGTACGTCTATATATTATATATCTGTGTATGTAATTTACAAATCACACACGTCTGCGATACGAGGATGGCGAATGGTCAAGCGTACGCAACTAAAGCTTTACATATACATATACACGACCACTACACGACTGAAAATATCTTTGGTACGAGAATCTTGAATGCGAAACACGATTTCAAAGAAGAGGAAACAAAAACTATTGAGAAATTTCCAAATGAATTATGTTAACTATAAGTCTGCACCAAAATCCGCACGAAGGCGTTCTACTACTAATAACCTACTGATAACTATCATTCATATATATGTGTATATTTATGCCATGTACTCAGTTCCTCCATGTTGTGCGCTATACCTTTTGTTATTGCCATAACGGCCAAGGATTGAGATCATCATTTCATTTGAAATGTATTATTATCATGCCAAAAGTTTTACTGTTATGTTTATATTTTTATTGGTGTTTATTCCAACGGTTTTGTTGTAGACAAACTACTATTATTATTGATTATGTGTGTAATGAAAATCTCTGTAAATCAATTGATACATATGTGTTTAATGATTAGAAGAAATAAAAGAAACATGTAACAGGCGAATGCATAAATGCAAAAGCTATATTTATATATATGTATACTCCAACCATATTGAACAAACTCAAGAAACAATTGTAATTTGATATTGATGTGTATCTTTGTATTCATGTCTATGTGTTTTTTATGTAACTGACTGTGTATATGTTCATATATGTGTGTATGCATACCAAAACTAATGCGAATTCAACGTGTAACGAAAACTATATATGATCAACATACTACTATATTATCAATACATATGGAAACCGAATAAAGTGTAAAGTATTTATCGTTGTAACTCAACGCCAATCTATATATGGATGGTACTTGAAGTCTGTTTTCATCATCGATAATTGCCAATTAATTGACATTGATTTTTGTTTAAACTGTTAATTAGTAAGTAGTAGTATGTTGATGAATGGGTTATTCTTCTAGTTGACGTACTTTTCCTTGGTTATACAGAAATAGTCCTGGGGAGTTAACGTTAAAAGAAATCTGCGTAATTTTGAAACATTTTCGTATATTTATTGTTGTCATCAAATTAGACATTTTATGGTTTATTTTGTAAATAGATATTTCTTAGCATGACTAGGCTTATAAGACAAGCGGACTCTAAAGGATATAATGTCCATCTCCCTGTCTGTCTGCTTACCCAGGCAATCTGTAGGTAAAACAATCAAATTAGTAACTATATGCCAGACTGTATCATTCATTATTTACCTCTGAATCTGTAATATTGACATGCTGTCAGGTCCAGGGCATCAGCCAGTCGAGGGGAATAAACTAGTAAAAACGAAAGCGAACTGCGGCTAGAATTTGGCAGGTGGGCAAGGTCAGTTAAGCGAGTCGTGTTCTAGGACAATGTGTGCCAATTATTGATCCAACATTCCGACCAAAACTCATATTGCCACGGCGACAGGACAGTTCTATTATGCCGCAAATGCCATAATAAATGGTACAATTATCATTTGCGGTTTTATGACAACTCGCGACGCATTCAAGAGTCAAGAGTCAGCACTACGAAAATAAAGAAAGGCGGCACGTCACGGGAAATGGCCAGCGCGGCGAAGAACTGGTCGGGCCTGGTTACGCTGTGCCTGGGCCAGGAGCGCGAGAAGGTACTCCGATTGATTTTGTGTGATTATTGCAGGGGCTCATAAAATACGGATACTTTATGTTTATTTAATAAGCGGTAATGTTTCCAACATGCTCCGAATCGAATCAAGTATCCAAAATTTGTGAAAGTCACGCATATGGGCTACGATAGCCGGCTGGCTGGTTGGGTGGTTGTTAGGTGGTTAAGTGGGAGTGGGTGTGAATCCACAGCGAGTATGGAACATCTAATGTAATACATTCTTTTTCGACACTTTCGTTTTGTCACCATGCAGCGGCAGGTGAGCAGCCAGCGCACATCCCTGACCAAGTCCAATGGGGCCGGCGCCTTGGGTGTTCCATCAAAGGTAAGCGGTTCATCTGTCCGTGTGTCCACTTTGATTATTGTCATTGTTACCCTTACTGTTGTAGCCGATTATACAATATTTGCCCAGCTATCGCATGGAGCCCAGGAATCCATTGAACAAGGAACGGTTGGAGCTCACCATGCGCACAATCATGAATAGGAACTACAACGAAGATTATCTATTCCATCCCAGGCAGTCCTACCATCTGGCAGCTCAAGTCAGCGAAGAGATCAAGAACAGCATCAAGCTCATGAATTTCGATAGGTATTCCATTCCATTTGGTATCATACCTTGCCTAATCCCATTGCCTGCTCAGATACCGTTACATAGTGTTGGTTACCGTTGGAGAGCTGCTCATGCAGGGCCTCTGCTCCATGGTCAACTTTCTGTGGGATGCCGAGAAGGACGGCTTTGTTACCTACTCCATCAAGACACCCAAATTCATAGCCGTCTGCACCGTATTCTATTTGTATTACGACTGAGTGCGTCCCTAAAATCAGAATTCATGAAAATAATAAAAGAAAGATCATCGAAAATTAATTTAATTAATGGGAGAAAGGAGTGAGACAGGAAGGAAACAAATAAATGGGGAAAAAGAAGAAAGTAAAGAATAAAAAAAGAAATAGAAAGAATAGTAAAAGTCTTACAGCTTCGATTTGATGCCAACAGCTTAATCTGTGAAGGAATCATGAATATATGTATATACAGTAGTGCATTACGAATTGCCACTAATTCACTTTGTCGCACAATTTGATTTGATTTGATTTTTGAAACCACTTGAAGAACAAACAAACACTCGTTAAATAAATCACAACACATTTTGAATTAGGTTTTCCGTTTGTTCATTTTTATTTGAATATCAGTTAAAGAGTTATATATAATAGATATATAATATGGTGAAGCATAAATAATTTCATCTCAACACAAAAACCAAAATAGATTTATTAAACTTTTTCTAAAGTTGGTTTCTTTTGATTTTGGTAATTCCAATAGATTAATGTTTCTATATTTGAATTAATTAAAGTATTCATATAATATTTTTTGACAACATATATATATTTGTGGACATCTGGATATTATATATTGGCCACACACATGCACAGACACAGACACACACACACACATGCACACACGCATCTATATATTGAGAGATATCATTTATCTGTACGACACTTCAACTCACATAAGGAATTTGCTTGGATTTCATATAGTATATATGCATATATACAGATATATACATACGTATATAGACACAGAACTTGTTGGAGAGCAACCCATAAGAGAACCAATGTAACATTTGCCAAACCCATTTCAACAATTCAAACATTTTGAAACAAATGCTACACGACGTTCTCTCTCCGGATGGAACTGATCAAACGAACGAACGAACGAACGATTGGAACAGAGATATTCCAAAAAATATCCAAACTTGAAACAGCTCACTGCACAATGATATGATATTGGGAGGCCGAAACAGGGCACAGTTCAGACACTTTATAAACACTCGATCCATAGTTATATATAATTATATATATAAAAGAATATGGAAGGAACCTCAATTTCTTGGGGCATCAACCAAAGGACAGAACTCCAATCAAATCACTTTATATATAGCAAGCCCATATTCATATATGTATATATCATGAATATTACCAGAATTTCAGATGGGGGCAAGCACTTTGTCTTTAGCACTATTTTTGTTCACAAAAACCAAAACTTCGCATCATAAACAACTCTCATTAACCAAATCATAATTGCTTAAAAATGATTCGAACTATTTAACACAAAAGAGTTAACACAAAAACTGATCAACATATTTGTTTTCTTTCTTTTGGATTTGATTTTGATTTTGGATTTTGCATTTAAACATTTTCTTGTTGATTTTTGCACTAATTGCACATTTAAAAATAAATTGGATACAGAGCAATTGTATTTTTTTTTTTTTTTTTTTTTTTTGTATGGAATGAGAAATCTTTACACTGTGAAAATAATTGAAATCAAATATACAATGGATAGTTATCAACAATTCAAAACTTTTTGCACAATTGTAATTAAAAAAAATAAATTTAGGTTGAACTTTCGTTTTGTTGTTTGATTGAACGGTTAAAAAACTTTTACACTCTCACTACACAAGGAATCAGAATCAGAATGTGTAAGGCATAACAACCATAAATAATATTATTTCTGTGATTGCTTGAGTGGGTCTGTAAAAAGAATAATAATAATATTTGGATTAATGCGTATTCATATACATGCAAGGTAAATATATATAGGACTATATATTATAATTGTGTGTGCATGTCTGCTTCATTTTCTTCTTCTCCTGCTTCCGCTTCTGCTGCTGATGTTGTCACTGGCTTCTGTTAGAGGTAACTCCAATTGTCTATTGATTAAATTATGCTTCTACCAATACACACACGAGCATACACTTGCATGTATGTGTATGTGCATACTTGTGTTTCTATATACTTTTTGTGTAAGTCTACGACATCTATGTTACGTGGCAACAAATCGCTTTGGGATTATGTGCCTGCCCAGCACTGCGAGCGATAGCCACCCGGTCGATGGGTTGCTTAGTTTGCCCACAGTTTGTCCATTGTTTAGGCGGTGCCGCCACGTACAACCACAATAACCAGATGATCCTCCTTGAGACCCTCCTCGGTGAGACTATGGCATGTACGCTTCAAGAGGTCCGTGGAGAAGTCACACGGTGGGAATGCATAGAGCACGCCCGTGGCCTCGGTCTCTTTGTTCAACAGCGATATAACTCCAGCCGCTTCCTTTTGCTTTAAGTAGGAGACGAGATTACGCAACGGACGAGTCTGCACGCTGGCATCGTCGCAATCTGTGTCCACAGTGGAACCAGCCAGACCCAAGAATATGGCATGCGACGACGAGGATGCAATGCGTTTCTGTACATCCTCCAGCTTAGGCGGATCCAGTCGCAACCTTTGTGTTATGCGCAAATTGTGCTTGCCCTCCTCATCACGCATCAACGATTCCACAATGTCTGTGTCGCCATCTGTCAGATGAAACTTGGCCGGGAATAAGGAACTCTTCAGTATGAGTGCGCCTGTCCAAATTGTGCTGCACTTGCGCGAAACATCGAGTACTGTGGCCGCCGAGCTGAGGGCATCGTTGCGCCGCGTCGAGGTGTCTGAATCAGAGCCGGGTGAGCGTTTCAATGGTGATCGCGAGCGCGATCGTTCCACTCCGGGCTCACGTGAACCGGAACGGGCCCGTTCATACGATTCTCCAGGCGGACGACGCCATTCATCATCAGCACCGCCTGGTGGCGGCACCGACGACACACCACCCATGACACTCGGATGAGGTGGTCTGTGCACATCATTGTGATAGTGATACATGCCGCGTCCACGTCCGCGATAGCCACTACCGCGTCCACGATAGCCGCCACGAGGTGGATATGGCGAATAGCCACCGCGTGGAGCATACACAGCTGCCTCCTCATAATAGGGATCGTACTCGGGTCTCCTATACTCGATGGCAGCCTCATCGTATGCCGGCTTCGAGGTCTTGAAGGGAGCTGCTGGCGTAGTACCAGGCAGCTCCGCAAAGTCAGTGCGCAGCCTTCGCTCGGGGCCGCCAAGGGGGAAGCCACGCATCTCCTTGACTGCCGCCGTGGCAGCCTCCACTGTCTCGTATTGTATGTAGGCATAGGGCTCACCCTTCTGGTATTCAATCTTCTTGATGGCACCAAAGCGATCAAACTCACGCTCCAGCTGTGTCACCGATGTCCAGGCGCCGAGACCGCCGATCCAGATTCGTGTGGCCGGCGTTACTTTGCCATAACCAATCTTGCATTGGAACTTGCCTATATACTGGCCAGATAGTTCGATTTTGGCACGATGAGCCATGTCAAGATTCTGATAGCGCACAAAAGCGAACGCGTTGCCGGTGCCAGGCGGCGGTCTCTTTATATCAATGTCATCCACTACGCCATATTTACCAAAAATACGACGAAGCTCGTCATCGGCAATGGTCACTTCTAGATTGCCAGCGAACAGTGTGCGTGTAGACAGTGGATCATCTTCTGGCTGCACATGATGCAAATAGTTGGGAAACTTATCCTTTTTGCTTTCCGGCTTCTCATACGGCACATGTGGCCGCGGGGCCATGGGACGCATCGGTGCATATTGATGAGGCGGTGGATGGCCGTGCATATGATGGGGATGGGCGTGAGGATGACCACGATGTATTGGTGGACCCCGTGGTGGATGTGGGTACTCATGGTGCATGGGTCGATATTCACGTGGGTGCACAGAATGCGGATGAATGGGTGGACCATAACGGTCATAGGGATCAATTGGAGGGCGACGATGATCCAATGGCACACCGGGTCCCATGGGCGAACGCGAGTAATGGTACCGTTCATAGTCCGGGGGCGACATCGAGTGCCGGGGCCTATAAATATAATATCCCAACGTAAATACAAGCCATAACCTTATAGTAATAGTCAACAGTTCACATACCTGTACTCCGGCCGTGTCGTCGACTTATAAACTGGCTCAACAATTGCCATTTTATCGTAAATGATCAGACGAGGCTTGTGATGCTTGGCTTCACGTGCATCCTCCGGCGTGCGAAAACACACGTAGGCAACACGTTCGTCCAGATCGTGCGCAAGTCGCACACTGAAATCCCCAAATTTCTTGTATTCGCGGTAGAGTGTCTCTTCGATGAACTCGTCAGGTGCTTTTGGAGGCAGAGCACTCACACACAGAACTTTGTAGCCAGCGGGACGCTCTGCAGCAGGCGGGCCACGCATATAAGGCTCTCGATGCGGAGACCCATAACGACCGCGCGGGCTTGGCGAACGGTCTAAGCGACGACGCATACGTTCCGGCGACATCCGTTCCGGCGAATCACCCGGCACACCTCCTCCATTATCGTAGCCACGGCCCATGCTGCGCGAATTTCTTACAAGGTTTCCTCTGCCTGGTGAGCGAGATGCGCTACGTTTCATATTGTGAATTTTGACAGTTATTCGATCAAGTTCAGCTCCTTCTCTATGAATACTCATGAGCAGGAGCGGAAGCTTTTTTTTATACCTTAGCCTTTTTCTTGTGACGAAGTCTGTGGAAAATATATAAATATATTTATGTTACAAAGCTTGTGCAGTTCATCACATACAATCGTTTGCAATTACACATTTTTATAATACGTACACACACATACATACAGTGAAAAAAATGCATGAAGATGAAAAAAAAATGGCGGCGCGACTTAAGCGTCGAGTATTGGGACAGGTAAAACAAAAAATAAAATCCACGAAAAATTTAACGCGTTTACATAACTATAACACAGCGTACTGTTACATTACTTACCACCAACTTTATGTACGATTTGTGATGTACTACACCTTTTTTCTTAATTATTTCTTTTATGCAGTGACATTAAAAATTCACACACTCCGCGGCTCGCAATTTATGTATTCGTCGAAAAAGTGTGGCGACAAGATGATGCAGCAAAAATATCGATACTGTCTATGTTTCGGCGAATAATCGATACCATGGCAAAATTAATTTGAAAATAGTTTTTTTTTAACTTACATTTTTACTTAATATATAAATATTAGATATCAAGTTACAAATTACAAGTCTTAATATAAAATTTTGTATAGTTGTGCTTGTAGCTTTGTTTGTGATCATATGTCGATACTATCACTAACCATAGTGATACTACTCACTTGGCTATTGTGAATTAAAATTCGATTAAACAATGCAATTCGTAGCAAAACAAATGCGTAAGAAGAAAAGCCGGCGAGGTTCTCAAAAAGATCATTGTAATAACCATGGCAAGGCCACATGTTGTCGTTTCTGGATAAGGCTTAGTCCAAACGGATTAAGCGACTTTAATTTTGTAACCGCGATTGTCTAAAATTGACAGCAGTTAACAGCCAAAGAGAAAGAGAAAGAAAGTTAAAATAGGTCGACTAATTTGCATATAACATGCATACATATGTATGTACATATGTATGTCGTTATTTTCTGAGTGCCAGCTGTGCAGGTATAAAAATCATTCCTCTCCGCATATTTATGGCGGTAGTTGAGTGCACTACCTGCGAATTCCGATGCTTAACAGCTGTTTTCCTGGACAAACACAGATTGTACATATGTAAGTAAATGCATGCTTGTATGTGTACATGCCTGTATGCAGATATCTATGGGAGTGTGAGTAGGCTAATCCGCTCGCTTTTTATAGCTCTTGCTCGCGTACTCGTAAATATATACTCAGTAGTTGACGATAACAAAATACATGTCTCTCTCAAATGGAAATATATAGAGTTTTGTAGTCGCTTAAATGCAGCTGCGCTCATGTTTCTTAGTCATTTAATGTTTAACAATGGCTGCGAAAGGAACAAATATTGAACGTGTCTCGGAGAATAGTTGTTGCGCTGGCAGCGGAGCAAAAGATCAGGCGCGCTATGATCACTACCGGATATATAATGTCCAGTTTGATAACGAGGACCAAATCAAATTGTTCCAGAAACTTGAAGAGCAGAGCGATAGCCTCACCTTCATTGGCCACGCACGTGAAATCGGGCAAAAGCTTTCAATATTGGTTGCAGCACATCGCGTTGCAGACTTTGCCGACTTGCTGGAGACTTACAAGCTACAACATCGAGTTCTGGTATGTATCAGAACATATTCAAAGTAATATTTTCATATAGTAATGTATTGTTTACTTTGCAGACATACAATTTCCAGGAGAAAATTGATCGTAATATGGGGGAAGTTGTTCCAGAGGATGTCGATGCCTCCAAATTGGACTGGCAGCACTTTTTCCACTTGAAAACCATCTACAGTTGGTTGGATCGGATGGCTGCAAAGTATCCGGGCCAATTGAATGTACTAAATATGGGCACCAGCACCCAGGGAAATGACATTAAGGGCGTTAAAGTGGGAAACAATCCGGCGAATAAGGCAATTTTCATTGAGAGCGGCATCCATGCACGCGAGTGGATCGCCCCTGCCGCAGCCACCTACATTATCAACGAGCTGTTGAGCTCGACAGATGAGCGCATTCAGAACTTGGCCAAGAACTACAATTGGTTCGTCTTTCCATGTGTCAATCCCGATGGCTACAAATATACATTTGAGCATGATCGCATGTGGCGTAAAAATCGCCAATTATTTGGCACGTGTCGAGGCGTTGACCTGAACCGCAACTATCCCGATCATTGGAACTCTACGGGCTCCAGCAGTGATCCCACTCGATATGATTTCGCTGGACCCAGCGCAGCAAGCGAAGTGGAGACGCAGCGTCTGATTGAGTTTATACGCAATAATGTTGAAAAGGAACAGATCAAGACGTACATTTCCCTACACTCTTACTCACAGATGCTCATGTTCCCATATGGCTACACCAAAGAGCATGTGTCCAACTACGACGATCTGCAGGAATTTGGAAAAAAGGCATCGGCCGCCATCAAGGCGGAGAGTGGACGAGACTACGTAAGCGGCAATCTGTATGAGACCATTTATCCATCAAGCGGTGGTAGTATGGATTGGGCTCATGCCGAAGCTGGCATACCAATCGCCTACACATTCGAGCTACGTGGCCCACCCGATAGCCAGGATCTATTCATTCTACCCGCTGTGGAAATACAGCCAACAGCCAGTGAAGCACTTACAGCGATTCGCACCATAGTGGAGGCTGCTGCTGAGAAAGGCTACTACAAGTGAATGATTTGCACATTATATTAATTACTATAATGTAGAAGAACTTGACGTATAACGATATAGAGTACTAAGAAAATGGTTTTACAAGCGATATAATCTAAAATAAATTCACATGTTTTACTGTTATGATAAGAAAAACTTGTTTGCATACTTATATATGTACATATAAATTCCAGTTATCTAAACGATATCGTCTTGCCGTTAAATGCATATACATATGTATAAATATATATATATATATATATATATGCATACATAAATACTTATATATTTAATAGGAGTAAATCGCAAAGTGATTTTTGTCATTGTCATTGACCTTCAGTGCGTAGAGTCCTTCGGTTATTGTTTTATACCTGCGATTTCAATTAAAAGCCAGTCAAAATAACAAATTTTCGACATCAGACTATTTTGTGTAACCGCTTTACTAGCTTTATCTTCTAAAAGTCCTTAGACCGCTACTTCTAACGCTCTATGTTATTACTCAATCTTCTATCTCTTTGGAAAGTTACAGAGTCCCCACATCTTTTCGTCCAAAATGGCCAACGCCCGAGCACAAGCCAACGGCATATGCGCAATGCGCATTGCCTCTTTTCCCGCGGGACAAGGTCATATCCTTTCTAAGGAAAAGAATCAATGGCAATTAACATACGTAGATTGTACAAAAATTATCGTGCATACATGTATGTTCATTTTTATAAACAACAAAAAATTTTTATATTTATTTAAATAGTCCGGGGTAAATACTGTCAGGAATAACCTTGCAAAATAAAGAAAATCTATATTGATAAGCATTTATCGTTATCGTATTTCGGGTATTTTGCATTGATAAATCGAAATACAATTTCGACTACAGTTTTGGTATTTTTCAATTGTATTCAGTGTATTTTTCACGTTGGCCGCTCGCGGTCACACTGTACACATCCCTATAGGTCTCGGCAGAAACATATAGATTTTTTTTATTAAACACTCACTAAATTAAACTATAAAAAGACGCCGAAGTAGTTACGTTTTTTATTGCTGTAACGTAGAATAAGACGCATCTCTTTGTTTGCAACGTGTACGCGTGTATGGTAAGCCCGAGCAAGCCAAAAGTGAAAGTCCCAGAAAAAGTACAAAAAGAGAGATAGTTTGACAGAGTGTGAAAGAAAGAGATAAAGATATATAGCGCGAGAGAGAGTGAGCGAGAACGGTGAAAAAGAGCCAGAGTCTGGGTGAGAGAAAAACGATTTTTTCAGAGAACAACGCGGATTTTCGTATTTGCTGTGGACGGGGAAACGTGTGTGTGAATTGAGCAGAACCTGGTGAGTACATTTTCTGCCTGCCTGCCTGTTTGCAATTGGTATTTTTGTATGTTGTTGTATTTGCATTTTCAATTGAAGCCGAAAATAATTTGAAAGCAGAAGCAAAACCGAAACGCAACGGCGCCAAGCTATAACAAAACGAAGCAAGCAAAAATAATAATAATATAAAAAAAAAAAAAAAACAAAAAACATCAGCCACAACAACAACGGCAACAACAATAATAATAACCATAGAAAATAACGAGAAAAGTCAGCGCGCTGCCGAAGACCGTCAAAATTCTCAGCCACAGCCAGCACACACCACCTTACAGCACCTGCACCCTATTAGCTGCCACCACGCTCCACCACAAACAACCAGCCATAATGTTCGTCAATTCGATGACGTTCCGTGGAAATCCGGCTAACTATCACCAGCAGCAGCCGGCGCTTAACCATCATACGCTGGCTGCCGCTGCTGCCCATCATCAGCAGCAGCTGCACCATCATGCTGCTGCAACTGGGCACCTGAGCCATGGCGTTGGCGGCGGCCATGCGGCTAGCAATCATTTGGCTGCTGCTGCTGTGCTGGGACGGCATGGACATAATTCCCTGAATGCCGGGCACACGTCCAGTTCGTCGCACTCAAGCGGTGCACTGGCTAGTGGCAGCAGCGGCAGCAGCAATAGCTCGCCGGATAGCGGAAAAATTTACATCAAGAATCTGGAGCGTTCGATTGACAACAAGGCGGTGTACGATACGTTTTCGGCTTTTGGCAACATTTTGAATTGTAATGTGGCGAAGGATGAGGATGGCAACTCGCGTGGATATGGCTTTGTGCACTTCGATTCGGAGGAAGCCGCCCGGGCGGCCATCGAGAAGGTCAATGGAATGCTATGCAATAATCAGAAGGTGCATGTGGTCAAGTTTATACCACGACGAGACCGCGAGCAGGAGAAGGCAACCCATTTCAAGAATCTGTACGTCAAGAATCTCAGCGAGGAGTTCACCGAGCAGCATTTGCGAGAAATGTTTGAGCCCTATGGCCGCATTACCAGTCACAAGGTGCGTCTATTCTAATGTTGTTTGTTCACTTCTCTTTTTTTGTGAATATATTTTAGGGCAGGCAGGCAGGCAGGCCAATGCCGGGGCGGTGGCGGGAGAAAGGGGGAGTATGAGTGAGAGCTGGAGCTGCAGATAAACCATGTGGCACACTTTGTCATCTCTTAAGAAACGCCACTCACAGCACTCTCTCTCACACTCACACTCTCACTCTCGCTCTTAGCCCGCGCTCCGGCCAACTGGTGCGCATGCCCGCCCTAAAGAATTAACTAACTGATTGTCGTCGTCCCGCTACAAAGGTTCGCTGCAACGGGGCAGCAGTAGCAGCCGCAGCAACCGATTGTTGTCATTGTAATTGCTATTATTAATTCGAAATTCATTTACAGTTGATGCTGGATGAGGAGGGACGTTCACGCCGTTTTGGATTCGTGGCATTCGAGAGTCCACAATCGGCGCTGGCCGCCGTCATTGGGCTGCACGGCAAGCAGCTGGGCGACAACAAATTCTTATATGTGGCACGAGCACTCAGCAAAGCTGAGCGACAGCAGGAGATCAACCGCAAGCTGGAGGAGCGCAAACGTCAGAAGGCCGGACAGATATTTTATTACTAAAAATTGTTAACGGAATGGACGGAGCTAAACGCTGTTGCGTTCGATGCGAGAATAAGAAGAAGATTATATAGAATCCCCCTCCAACCCCTCACACGTAACAAACAATATACACACAACATACCAATATCTAATATATATGTATAGGTATAAAGACATGTATACATATATATTATAGATATTTATGATTAGATTCTGCATTAAGCAAAAACTTAAAAACAAAATGCAATACACAGCAAGCACAGAAGAGACAACACACACACACACACATATTTAGGTGTAGGCAACACACACACTTGAGAGTGATGCTAATGCAGAATCATCCAAATCCAAATGCAAATGGAAAAATAAGGAATTCACATACATAGATTTTCAAATATTAGAATCTAATATGAAATCTACTGCAACAAAATGAAAAAAAAGAGAAAGAAAAACAAATAATAATTCGCTAGATTTTCTTTAACTTTCTTTCGATTAGATGTTTGTCTCTTGTTGAATTTAAAGAGCAGAAGCCCCTAAAATACACAAAACGTAAATTTAAACAAAGATAAGCAGCTTCTAGCTTCACGAACAGAATGCGTACGCAAATGTCTAAATATATTAAAATTACTTATTAAATAATAATACAAAAAAAAAAAAAAAAAAAAAAAAAGAAAAGCATAAACACACGCAATTAGCAAGTGAATTCTAGGCAAGCGTCGAACAAATATATAGCTACCATGTCCCGAAGAGTCATGGACAAATATTGAATATTTACACACATACCTATATATATTAAAACAAACTACACGATTGCTGTAAAATTCTATAAACAATTAAAGCACCCACTTTACGTATATAAAGGAAAAAAAAAAAAATAAAAAAAAAAAAAAAAAAATATTTCACGCTGTAGTTTAAAAGCGTTTATAATACTCACACATACACACACATCCTAACTAATGCTAATTAAAAAAAAAAAAGAATAAATAAAAAAAAGAAGAGATTTGAGGATACCTTAAAGAAAAAATATGGGAGCACGAGGGAAACTCTTGTGTGCAATTGCAATTTACAATGGAAAAAGAGTATTAAATTAAATTTGTAACAATTACAGAACATTTTTGTAATTTATTGTAAATTGTTTCAAAGTAGCTAACAACATATTGAACACCAGGCAGCAACAAAAACTGTAAACGATATAATTTCAAAAATCGAAATAAATAATTGTACGTGTGACAGACACACACACACAAACAAACACGCAAATGCTTACAACTTAAAAAAAAAAAAACATATTCCCTCACATATTTAAAAAATAAAGAAAATAAAAAGCGTGTATTGTTTACATTTTCAAATTAACCGGGAAAAGAGCAAAATGGCAATGGCAAATAATACATAAATATATATTTTAAGATTATTGAGCTTAATTTTTAAACATGTTTCAAAAAGAAGGAAAAAGTCAAAAACAAAAGCAAAAATCCCCATAAAATAACTAAACACACAAACAATTTGTATAGTTAAAAAAGAATGGAAACATGAACAGGCAACAGCAAAAACAAAACAAAACAAAAACAATTGAAATATATAGTAATTAAATGAAATGCGAAACCTTAAGAATTGCATAAATACACACTCACATTTACAATAATTTATTATGTAACAATTAATTTTAAATTTCCGTTTCGAGTTTAAAAGAGAGAAAGGAAAAATGAAAATGATTACAGCGTTGCTAACAATTTTTGTCAGCTAAGTAGAGCTAAAAATATAAAAAGAAAATTTATAATTTACAGGAAATTGATAGTATTAGTATACACACACATACACACGCAATATGAATTTAGAGAAGAGTAAACAAAAACAAAAGCAAAAAAAAAAAAATATTAATGCAAAATGTACAAAAAACAAAAACAAAAAATGAATATGAAACTTTTCGTTTGCAAAGCAAATGCGACATATGTGTATTTTTATCATTAATTGTAATAAAACCAAAACTTAATTGCTTTTGCAGAATTTAACTTAAAAAGAAAATCAAGAATAAGATGATGAAAACAAAAGGCCCCAAAAGAAAATCAATGATGAATAGTATGAGGAAAAAAAAAAACAAAAACAAAATGAAAACCTTGAAATATATAACCTTTTATAGTACTAAATTTTTAGCCAGTACGAATTAAAAACAAAAAGAAAAGAATAGAAAACAAAATGCAAGTTTACAAGGCAAAACTCAAACAAAAAGAAAAACAAAAGAAAAAACCCTTTAAACAAATGAAACTGAATTCAAAATTTATAATAAATACTCGATTTTGCACATTTTTGCTAAATGAGAAATTAATTACATAAATAAAAATTATGTACTATTTTTTTTTTAATTATATATAATTTTTTTTAGACCCAAGCTACACACACACACCTTATACACACACATATATATATAAAACAGGCATATATATATATATATATATATATATATATATATATATATATATATATATATATATATATATATATATATATATATGAATGTAATTCCATTAAAAAAAGAAAAACTCCTAATTATAAACATATAGAAAAGAAAAGGAAAAATACCTACTTATTAACACCCAAGACGATATATAAAAATTCATGATGATGCAGAATCATCTAAGAAAACAAGTAAATTGCAGTAAAAATATGAGAAATTTGAATAAAAATGCTTTTGCAAAAAGTGTTTAAAATTGAGCAAATTTGTTGTATTCAATTTAAATTAATAACAAATAGCAAATACTTAAACAGTTAACATAAATTTAAAAAGAAACGCCGCAAGACGACAAAGAACACACACAAGCACACGCACAACATGAATTAAGATCGTTGGATATATCAATTATTCGTCATCAATTATCTCTATATCGCTATTGGGGGATTTCAATTCTTCGATTTCGTCCTGCAAGTCCTCGATTTGCTCCTCATATTTGCGCTTGATGGAAGCAATCTATGTGATTTAAATATACAATGTGAATCAATAAGAATCAATATGAGCTGCATAAATGGTGGGACAAACCTTCGCCTCGAATTCCCGATTAAGCATAGCGATCTTCCTCTCCTGCCGCTCCTCGCACTGTTTCAGATTCGTTTGTATACTCGCCTCGAATGTGTCGGTTAGCTCCTTGCGCAGCTTTTCCTCCTGCAGCTGAAGCTTTAGCACAATGTCATAGTTCAGCCGTTCGACCTCAGCACGCAGACTGTCAAGTAATATATTATTATTAGTAATAATATCAGTTAACATCCATCTACTTTACCTAATGTTCTGAGCTTCCAGTTCTTCGATATATTCCCTGTCGCGCGAGTCTCCAGTCGAGCTGTACTCAGCGAAAAGCGAGTAGCGCGTGTTGTGCTGCTTCACCAACTGTTGTTTAAATAATATATTCTTGGCGATTGAGGCAAAGCTGAGGACATTGAGATTCTCTTCGTAATATTTATCGAGCGGCGTTACTGTGACAATCATGGCCAAGCGCTCCTTACCCAGCAGAGCGGCCTGCAGCAGCATCGTCAATTTCGAATCCCGATATGGAATGACATCCGCATTGGCCTTCTTCTTTGTTGAGCTGGCCGCGTCCAGGCAACGACCCAACACCATAAGCGACGTGTTGATGCTTTGTGCCTCTTTTAAACGGGATCCGATCGTGCCCGTTTTGTCCACACGCTCTGACCCGGCAAGATCGCAGAATTTGTATGAGTTTTGTGTGGTCATGCCATTCCGATGGTATTTCAGTACATCCACCGTGAAGACGCAATGCGAACGACTCGAGTTGGCATTAACTGCCGTAGAGGCGTACGTCAGACGTTGCTGTCCCAACCGTAGCAGCTTCAGAGCTTCCTCGCTGCTTCTCACAAATATACTAGTCAAACCCTTGATGAAGACCTGGCCCTTGTTGCAAACGATCTTTAGATTTTTCCGCCGAGCCTCCATATTTTGCTGACGTGGGGGTAAGGTCAACAGATCGTAGACGAGCTCATTGTATATTTCGACAAATGACACCCAAATCATGACGGACACTTCTTCGGCTGGCTTCTCTTCGAATTCATGATCGCCATGGATTACTTGCTTTAGGCGCTGGTGTTGAGCCTGCATATCCGGGCACAGCGCCAACAACTGTCGACGTATTTGCATTTCCTTCATAGTAACATCGTCTTCCAGGATTACCATGCGCGCATTAACAAGCTTCAGCTTGGCTGCCGTATACACCTGCTTATTGTACAGGGTAAAGATGTGTTCCAGGGCGCGTGGTATAATGCCGGCCCTAACACTGTCACCTGGTGTAGCCAATCAAACTAAACGTGAATGCGGATTCTTACTGATAAGAGGGCTGATTACATACCAAGCAACGTATAGGTTTTACCCGATCCAGATGTACCATAAGCCATGATAGTAACGCACTCCTCGTCTATAATGCGTGGACCCACGCATTTGTCGTATATATCCCGCTGTCCAACTTGGCTATCGAATATGTTGGTGAAGCTGTAGTGCTTCTCCATGCGGTTCACATTGTTGCTGCTGTTCTCGTTGGTGGCGGCGCTAGTGATCAACACATTGCCACACTCGGATATAATATACAATTTGGATGGAGATTCCACAGGTCGCAGGCGCAGAAATACCTGTGGGCCTGTCTCCATTTCGCTATCTATTGAGCTGCCACCCTCATCTCCGGTTTTCGTGTACTCCGATTCCGTGTCTGAGCAATCGGAGGAGCTGTCGCTGGTTTCAAGGAGCACCTCGTCGAAGAGTCGCAGTTGTTTGTTGGGGCGAGGACGAAAACGGCGATCGATGCTGGGATCACGGGGCATTAAAAAGGAGCGCATTTCGCGCTTGCTAACCTCTTCCCTCTCCATTGGTTTGCGCACTGGTATCCTTTAATGTTTTTAATTTAATGTGTTCGTCACTTTTGGCGGTTTGACTTAAAGACGCTTGTTCACGAGTTGCCAACTGATTTAAACCTTATGCTTACTTTGCCAACTATTTCGAAGCTAGAGCTGGCGAGCAGAAAGTATCGAGTAATTTTTCTATCGGTCGAAAGCAATACTATCAATAAATCGAGTGATTTACGAACACCGCCAATATATCGAGTGAGTTCACAAAGGTGGCAGCTCTAATAACACGAGTGTCCAAAACATAAACATTATAAAGGCGGGATCTCTTGTTTATATAAATAAGTAGAATGAGTAAAAAGACAACACGTTCCGCAAAACCCAAGGTTGACCCAGATGCGGCGCCACAGCAGCAAAAAGCGTGTGCTATCAAGAAAGTCTTCTACATATCCGAAAAGTTACTTAACACCGATGACGATCAGCGAATGTGTTTGGAGCGATTCTATCATCCAGGCAAGGGGCAACCGGCTTTGTTTATAACGTTGCAAGAACGGCATATAATGGAGGTGCTAGAGTATGCAGAGCCACGACGCAGTTGGCTACTAAATAGTGAAGTCTGCTCCAATGGACGCATGTATATGACGACGCCAATAGACCCAACGTTTCTTGCACTGCATCATCTCCGCAAGCACTGCGCCCAGCGTGCAATGTCTTTGGATAGCATTAGCGTAGACGAGGCGGACACCAGCACAAACCGTCTGTTAACCAAATTCATAAACGCTGACAGTCTGAAGTGCGTGGCCGATGTGAAGACATCTGGAGAGCTTGTCTTCTATAAATATAACAAAGATCGAACGTTAGCGTGGCTTGCTGTGAAGACACGACAAGTTGTATCTGTGCTCAAGGCAAAGCAAGTCCATTGCGGCTTGGGTGCCAAGTCGCAGAACTTTGTGCGCAGCGAAAAGATTGTGGATGACAATGATGTCAAGGAAGTGGACTACTTACGCATGGCTTGCGACTATGTGGGTCGCTATTTGGATGCGGACTTGCATGCCGAACTAACGCGTTATCTGGACATACCAAGCGAGATTCAGGCTCTGGTCGAGGAAAATGCCACGGCAAAGAAGCGAAAATCTCAGCAAAGCCAAGTTAGTGCGAATAGTAAGAAAATAAAGCTCGCCAATGGCGAAGATGCTGCAACTCAATTAAGGAATAGCAGTTTGCTAGACAGCGATGATAATAAGGAGAGCATCATTTCGCCGCCAAGCACACTTGCACCGCTTAAGGAGCGCACCATGACGGCTAAGGAAAAGGTTCTGGCCAAGAGCGCCAAGGGCAGCAAAAGCATTGCATCCTTCTTCAAAGTCAAATAGTTTTAGGTACTTCAATTAAGAATAATGTTACTTCAATTCGATTGTTCAATATACTCCATCAATTTTAATTTATGTAAGCAAGCGGCATTTTTGAAGTTCACTGACTTCTGTCTACAGTTTTGTCACATATCTTGTCAATTGGCTTGTTTAATGTATAGTTAACATGTCTGGCGCGGCACTACCAACAAATTGGATAAACAAGACGGCAAAGCTGTCACCCGCCACAAATTAATTACGATTGTTTGCATAGCTCTGAATATCATTTATGAGCTTTTTTTATCAGACGGGGCCTCTACGAGAAAGTAACTGGAAATCTGACACCTTTAAATTGGATGCAGAATATTCAATATTAAAATGTTCCTTTTGTATACTTTTTGCTAGACACTTCAAGGAGCATGAACTTTGCCGACTTTTCTTTAACATGAAATTCGATTAATAGGCGTTAAAAATGCAGCCCTGCATTCCAAAAGAAGGGCATCCTAAGTTGCTCTGCCCGTTAAGCGTTGCCACATCCTTATATAAAATTCACTGAAAAGGCTCTAGTGTAGCCCTGCTTGATAAAAACTTCAAAAGCGTTTTCATAACTGCGAGCCGTATCATAATAGTGGGCCACTTCTATTGTTTTCATAAATTTATCATTGATTTATAGACAGCCTCTTGTATCAAAAGTTATCCTGAATATATACATATGAAATATTATGAATTACCCGTGATTTCTAAGTAATCAGCTTGTAATGTGTTGTCCTGTCACAATTTGAAATTCAGTTAGGCAGAAGCCTACCAGCAGAGCTTTTATTAAACGTCAACTGTCGAGTTTTGACATTTTGCAAATTCGTTTCATTGAAGATTTAATTAGCAAAAGCGCAATGTCGATTCCAGATGATATTTTGAAAGCTGAAATGGTTTATGCAGATCCTTCAGAATTGCCAAGCACTTTGTTTGCCGGTGTTGACCCAGCGGACAGCAGTGTGGAGCAGCTCTTCAAGATGCCGCTGCCATTTAAGGAGCCCAGCACCGAGGAGAAGACTGTAATCAACAATAAAATCGAGGTTGTGTCGCCGGGGTATGATCTGAAGTACACCCTCGAGGGACATACGCGTCAGACTACAGCGGTTCGCTTCTCTCCTGGTGGTGAGTGGTTAAGCAGTGCATCGACTAATGGCGTACTCAATATGTGGGACGTGGACACGGCTAAGCTGCACAATACGATGACAGGTCATTCACTGGGCATTAACGATGTGGCCTGGTCGCCGGATGGCAAATTCATAGTCAGCTGCAGCGACGACAAGACCATCAAGATGTGGGATCCCCTCACTGGCCAGTGCCAAAAGTCATTCATAGGTCACAATAGATATGTGTTCTCATGCAGCGTCCATCCGCAGTCGAATCTGATAGCCTCGACCAGCTTCGACTGCTCCGTACGGCTGTGGGACGTGCGCAACGGCAAGGCACTGAATATGATCCTCGCCCACATGGATCCCATTTCGTCTGTAGACTTTAATCGTGACGGGTCGCTCTTTGTGACCGGCAGCTTCGATGGGCTTGTTCGAATTTGGGACACCATCAGTTGCCAAGTGCTCAAGACGCTCATCGACGAAGACAATTCCCCGGTGGGCTATGTGAAGTTTGCCCCGAATGGCAGATATATACTCGCCGCCTATCTGAACAGTCAGATAAAGCTGTGGAATTTTCAGAAGCCGAAATGCTTGCGCGTCTACAAGGGTCACATGAATCTCAAGTACTGCATCTCCGTAAACTTTTCCGTTACGGCTGGCATGTGGATCGTATCGGGCAGCGAAGATGCTTCACTGTATATCTGGAGTCTGCAGAACAAGGAGCTTGCCCAGAAGCTGCCCGCGCACACAAATGAGGTCATTAGCACCGACTGCCATCCCAAATTGAATCTGATAGCAACGGGCGCTCTACAAAACTCGGACAATCTCAAGATCTGGCAGAGCAGCGAGACTGTAATCGAATTAAATAAATAAAGTAATTTGTATTTAATTAGAACTTAATTACCATTTGCCTTTAAGCCAACTTTGTATTGAAATTCTTGTTATCAGCCGGCTCGTATCGCTATGAAGCGATAAGATGATAATCGAAATCGCAAATCATATAATACTTATGAGTGTGCATATGTGTGTGTGTGTGTGTGAGCGTGCGAGTATGCATATGTGTGTATGTGTTTGCACACAGTCTGGGCTCAGTCGAGCCCGCGAGCAAGCGATTAGCGCGTCATTCAAGTCCGGAGCGTCGCACTGAGTGAACGTTCGCTTCGCTATTGTAACTTAACGCGGAAATAAGCACCGAACCTGATACTGAACCAGAGAAATAAAATATCAATATATATAAGTAGACGTGAATAATCTTGTAAAAATCGTTGAGCTTGCAACGACGTTATGAGAGCCGACGATAATGAAGGTAATTTTATTGCATTTGAAATGCGGGCAACAGGTGAGCGGGGAAAATTAAAAATTCCCCGCTTCATCTTATTATTGTTTATGGCTATTTCACGGCTGGTTAGAAAGCGTGCGGCAATCAATTGAATATCTTTCAGCTAAATTGAACAACAAAAGACAGATCTCTCAATGGATCGATGCGACAATAATGTGTGAAATTTCAATTTAAATATCAAGATCTTAAGTTTGAGTTATAAAATTGAGCTTTCCTTCATCTTAAAAAAATCAATAGGAAATCTAATACAAATATTTTTGTACTTAAGTTAATATATGTAGATCATTTCAGTAGCTCATATCTGACTAACGGTTCTTAAATGCAATCGAAGTGGGTGCTATATGCTTTATAGTGCATTATACCAGCTGCAATTCAAGTTCAATTGAGCTTTATCTCGAAGTCTATGTAAATTAAATTCCCCAAAAGGCATATAAAAATATATATATAATAGTAAAAATTGTACTATAAATAGCTGTTCAAACACTTTCTAATTCGAGCTTGAAAGATTTCTGTTTATTCACTGAGAGATAAGTATATACGTGACTTATTCACAAAAAAAAAAAAAATAATAATAATAATAAAACAGCCGCATTTATTTAAAAAATAAAAACAAGCTTATCTCTGTTTTAGTCGCGGCCTCCAGTAAATGTTGTCCAAATCAGTTGCTACCAGGTCAGATTTTCGAATCGTTTGAATTTATGACTTAATAGAGGGGTCCGGATCGTAAACATGTTATAGACTTTAATGGATTTGTGACTTGCAGAGAATCTATACCATGAGCAGTTGCCGAATGTGGGCACGCTTATCGGAGAAAGTGGACGCAAGTTATGCCGACCCTCGACAATTGCCAGAAAATTTCCAATAATCAGATGGCTGCCTCGTTATCGGTCGGCATATCTGGTGCAGGATTTCATAGCCGGCTTTACGGTCGGACTTACGACAATACCTCAAGCCATTGCCTATGGCGTAGTGGCGGGCCTGGAGCCCCAATACGGCCTCTACTCGGCCTTTATGGGCTGCTTTACGTATATTGTTTTTGGTTCCTGCAAGGATGTGACCATTGGTAAGTCGTCAATAGATATCCATAATCAGATTGTAATCTCCGCTAACTAACACACTTTGATAGCCACAACTGCTATTATGGCTCTGATGGTCAATCAGTATGCCACGATTAGTCCGGATTATGCGGTGCTCGTTTGCTTCTTGGCGGGCTCGATTATTCTAGTGTTGGGACTGCTAAATATGGGCGTGCTCGTGCGCTTCATATCGATTCCAGTTATAACTGGATTTACGATGGCCGCAGCCACAACCATTGGCAGTGCTCAGATCAACAATCTCGTTGGCCTCAAGGGTAAGCATTAAATTTCCCAATTTCTTATCGTCTAATCAGCTGAGAACTTTCCGATTTGTTGATTATTATGATGATTATGAATTCAACTGTAGGGAATTGTGTAGTCCTTAAGACTTTTTCATGTAGAATATGCATATGATAATTGCAATATCAATTAGCTGAGTTGCAGCCGAAGATAGAGATAAGAAACGGAGACCAGGAAGTACGTCGGGTACTTTTACAGCCTGAACTTATCTTCTCAAATTCAAATATCAACAATTCATTCAAAGGTGCAAATATTCCGAGTGAAGAGCAGAATTATAAGCAATTTATATAATATTTAACACTAGTTTAGTTAGTCAGCATAGAAACTCTAGCATTTCTATTCGGTATATCGAATATAGGAATGATATCGAAAGTCTTGAATCTCTTATTTGACAGGTCCTTCGAATGATTTGTTGCCCTCGTGGAAACATTTCTTCACGCATCTGCCCTCGATCAGGGTCTGGGATGCCCTATTGGGCGTTGTGACTCTGATCTTTTTGTTGCTCATGAAGGTAATTGTAATCACTAATCTTTAATCTCTGTATAATAATCTATCTTGCTTTCATATAATCTTGCTCTTTTGCAGCAATTGACCAAGATCAAGTGGGGTAACAGGCTGGTCTGGAAATATCTCTCCCTGTCGCGCAATGCATTTGCTGTCATCTTTGGCACATTCCTGGCCTACATACTCAGTCGAGATGGCAATCAGCCATTCCGGGTGACAGGCAATATAACAGCGGGAGTTCCACCATTCCGATTGCCTCCGTTTAGCACAACTGTCGATGGAGAGTACGTCTCCTTCGCAGATATGATAAGCACTGTGGGCGCATCTTTGGCATCCATTCCAATGATAGCCATACTCGAGATTGTGGCTATATCCAAGGCGTTCTGTATGTACCTACCAAAGTGTTCCACTCTGCCTGATTATAATTTTGCTATAATTACCTAGCCAAGGGCAAAATCGTGGATGCCTCGCAGGAGATGATTGCGCTGGGCATGTGCAATATCATGGGCAGCTTTGTGCTTTCCATGCCGGTGACCGGCTCCTTTACCCGCACAGCCGTCAACAATGCCAGCGGGGTGAGAACTCCCCTAGGAGGTGCTGTAACGGGTACCCTTGTGCTATTGGCGCTCGCCTTTCTCACACAAACCTTTTACTATATACCCAAGACGACGCTAGCAGCGCTCATTATAGCGGCAATGATATCCCTAGTGGAACTGGAGAGGATTTCAGATATGTGGAGATCTAAAAGTGAGTGGAGGACCACACCTATTTCCAACACATTTTATATGTATATATCTTTTCTGTAGAACGCGATCTCTTTCCCTTTGTGGTGACAATCGTGACATGCCTCTTTTGGAGCCTGGAATATGGCATCGTCTGTGGCATCATAGCCAATCTCGTCTATATACTCTATAGCAGCGCTCGACCACAAGTGCACATAACGCTTGAGAAGGTAAGCAGATATCCTATATCATATTTTCTTTATTAAATATGTTAACCTTCCCCTTATAGATCAATGGCCACGAAGTTGCCCTGGTCGATGTCAAGCAGAAACTGGACTATGCCTCTGCCGAGTACCTGAAGGAGAAAGTTGTGGCTTATCTTAACCAGCAGAATTGTAAAGTTCATTTGGCGGTGATCAAGGGTCAGGAAATTAATTCAATTGATTACACAGTGGCTATGGTAAGTTTAGTACATTAAATAGTATTTTATATTAACTATATTAAATTTTAAATATCATTATAATTGCTTATGCAGAATATAATATCACTGTACGGCGATCTTAAGGCACTTGATTGTGAAATGATCTGCTGGAACTGGAATATTGGCTCTGCTGGCGTCGTATGTCGTCTCAAGACTGAAATGCGTTCCATATTTAAGTTTAACTACGAGCTGGAAGAGCTGATCGCCTCCCACTTCGACACATCGAATACAGCGTCGACTGTCACCATTGAAACCGCCCAGGGCCAAGTTAATGCGGCATAGAAGAGGCCTTGGTCATTCCATTCAGTATCACAGTATTTTATATTTATGTATATATGTACATATATTATTCGAGAAACGTGTACTTAGATAAGCTATAAAAAGCCTTTGAGTAAAAAACTATACTACTTGTAAATACAAAATTACTTCTTAGGGAATGGGCATAGAAGGATGCTAATCTTGGAGTACGATAATTAAATACAACTGCTTACGCTTTGACCCATAATTCAAATGTCCATCCTAAGGATTCTAGAACCAGCCTAAAAGTACGGCGACAGCGTGTCTGCAGCATTCTCGTCTCATATTGTATTACGAGACGTTGGGAGAATGCTTCGAGGAACCTCACCCATTATGTCATAATAGTTGCATAACAAAATTAATTGAACTGTTAACCGCAGACATTCGGGCAGACAGTCTATGGGTACTCCGATCTCCTTTCTCCGAACAATTGAGCCGAGTGCAATATAATTTATTGCTTTCCCTCGGCACTTGAATGGGTCTGTCTACGCGTCTGACATAGAGCGAAAGAGCGTGAGTGAGAGAGAGAGAGAGAGAGAGAGGGATGGAGACAGAAGAGGCTTCAACCTTTCACCAGTTGGGCAGCTAGTTTCTAGGAAGAGTTTAGTTGGATTTTAATTACGGCCTATGGGGGTATCAAATGCATAGTAGTATATATATTGACTGTAATTTAGTGGTATGCTTTATATGTAGTGGATCCTTAGATTCCTAATAAATTTGTTGAGTTCTTCTTCGATTGGAGCCAGCATTCATCTGGACTGGAGGTCACCTTAGAAGGTTAACCACACTTCGTCTGCCATCTGCTCACACTCCATGTGATGCTCCACAGCCTGACATCCGCCCAATACCTAATCTACACTTCCGCTATGGATCCTGTCGCAATATGTCTGCTTTCTTGGACTACCATAGTAAAAATGTCTTCGGAGTGCCATGCGGTGGTTGGACTTGTGAAAGTCGATATATAAGAGAGAATATTCATATTTATATATGTATGATATTTTCTGACTCAAAAAATATGGAAAGATCTGTAAAGAAAAACTTCCTTTTTTTTTGACGATTATAAGATGTCTTAAATTATTATGCAAATCATCAATTTTAATTATTGCTTCTTTAAATCTATTCAAAGATGTATTAAAATCGAAATAAACAATTTAATAATTTAAATAAAATGTTGCATAAAT